TATGTAATTGTGCTCTTTCCGTGGCCGTGCCCCCTTGGTTCCCGCTCGGCCTACTTGGCTCCCGCGGCTACCTCTTCAGTTTCTTGGCTTGGGATTTATTTTTAGGTGTTTTAATATTGTGATGTTTAGGTTCTTGTGTTAGTTAATGTAATGTGTCTCTTTGTATTCCCTTTCATATCTATATATATGGGGGATTGTTTATGTTTGAAAGTAAGTTGAATGATAAGTTATTTTTGGAAGCTTTAATCTGCGGGCTTTTTCCACCCTTCTTTCTCATCCCCTCCGGAAATCCTGCGGGCTCTTTCCAACCTTTCTTCTCGGGCTTCTAACCTCTTTCGTCTCTCCGCAAGTGCCACTCCACCTGTATTTTTCTTCCAAGTGCAGCAACTTTAGGGTGTCGTTTTATTTTATTTGGAGTCGTTTGTAAGAGTTTAAGTTATTGAAATCATCGTTTATAGTTTTAATTTCCATTGCTTAGTCTTAATTAAGTTACCTCTTCCTTTTGAGGTATTTTGTGTCTTCTTTTCTTTAGAAGTCATGCTTTCTTTTTGTGATCAAAAAATATAGGCTCCCTATATTTTTTGATTACATCAAAATACCCCTGCACGTGCACCATAAATTGTATACACATAGGCACACTAAAGACAATCATAACCCGCATGGGCCCCGGCGAGCGTGTTATTGGTACAAACGTGACGTCTAGGGATGCTGCGCGGGCTGATAAGTGAATTCAAGTTCGAACCTGATCCTTATATATAAATTAATAGGAGTCGACAGGGTTCGAACCTTCAAACAAATACATGATTGTGGCGACTGGTGTATTTGTTTTAATACATTCATATTAGGCCGTCAAGACCTATAATCAAAAGAATTCACTAACAAATGCATGAAGCCTACAAGAAACTCGATCCTCGGTCAAAAATTCTGCCGAGTCGACAGGGTTCAATCAACAAAAGGGAAATGACCCCATGCATACCCTGATGATGGCCGCGTTGAACGCTAATCTCAACCGGAGGGGTTCACAAATATTTTCAAATGCTTCCCAACAGTCCACTCTAAATCCTAAAATTTAAGATATTTAAAATTGAAATAAATCCATCAATCACTCAAAGCAAAAATTCATCCCATCATCTACAACAGTTTGCCGAGGTGGACAAATTCAAATATAACTTTAGCTCACAAAGAGCTAAATGCCTAGTCGAAAATATCACTATGATCCATTCTCAATCAATCTCCTGCCAATAAGGACGTGGTACGTGTCCTCTAACCGGCAGTTTTGCTTCCAAATGGCACCGCAGGATAAACGGTTATGATGCGGGACCCGGGGCCCTCTGAACCAAGTGGTTTTGCCGCCAAATGGCACCACGAAATACCGGTTATGACCAGAGCCAATACGCTCCTTAGTGGCATCAAATCCTTGAAATATGAATCAATAGGATATGATCGATAGGGCACAAAGTCCTCTGTTAGCTAAGGTGGATTCAAACTTGTCCCCTTAGACAAACATTCACCCCAGGTCTACAAGGTCCCCTTGGACGAAGCAACCCATGGCTGCCGACAAGGATCCTTCTGTCAGGTTGGGTCGACTACCTCCTCTGACTAAGTAGACCAGGGACCACGATGGTCCGGGACGACAGAACTATGGGATCTTGATCGGGTCTATCATCCATTCCCCCACCATCCGCTTTAAGTGCAAGATGATGAAATTTTCATTTTTAAATATCAAATCTCCCAACCCAAATTCCAAACATCTGAGCTTTCCAAATTTCCAAATCCAAACATATTGCTACTACTATATGCCTGATACTATATATCTATGGATACAACGTATCTAATCGACGACTAGCCTTAATCGAAAGTTCTCTCTCGTCACCGGGAGGGGTAATTAACTATAGGGGCTTGCGCCTATAGGAAATCAAAACTTAGATCATAAAGTCCTCACAAAATGATGGCGAAATCTCTGGGTAGTGTCTTATCTACAAACCCATCTGCCTTCCCAAAATTTACCCCGGAACTTATTCCGTTAAAACTCCCTCGTCAAAAGCAAAAAGCACGATCAGTGCGGGCGGAGGCCGGGGCCGAATTTTCGGAGCCCACATGTATCTTGCTATTTTCCGTTTATATTTCATCAAATAATACAAATTATCTATTGTTTTCATGGTTTTGGGTGGATTTTTGTGGAGAATTCTCGGTGTTTTTCAAAGATTGATTGGATTTACTTGGGATCTACAAGTGTTTCTTATCAAATTGGTATAATAGCAGATTTTGGGACCATTTGTGCGCTATTTTTGGGAAATTCGGCTGTTTTTATTTTTGCCGGAGGAAGGAATTTCGCTATTTTTTGTGTCAATATCCAGATTTTTTAAACCAAAAAAATGTCGTTAGAGGTGAGGGAAGTCACCGACAACTAGGGAAGTGGGAAAAACCCTAAGCCAATCAGACAAAGGGAAGCGCAGGAGATGGAGATTTCGGAAGGAACAGAAAAAATACCTCCCCTAGGGCTTATTCCTAGGGAGGAGTCGGGTAGAGGGTATGTGGGGAGGCGTGAGGGGGTTGGACATGAATAGAAGGGTGCTGAATATGAAAGAGAAAGAGGGAATTTTGATCAAAAGGAGGGCTGAATTGGAAAGAGGAGTTTGTGATGATCTAAGGGGTGTTGAATTTGAAAGGAGGTGGGAATTTTATGAAAGGCTTGGGTATGAACGTAGAAGGGATGGTTGGGACACTTGGGGGACCACCCCCTTGGGGAATAAGAAATTATTAAGGGAATTGAGGCGATCCGAGGGTGAGGAAATTGAAGATACCAATCTTTGAGGGGAAAGGATGCGCACGGGTGGATATACAAGATTGAAAGATATTTCACCGTTAATGAGTTTACGGAGGAGGAGAGACTGACGGTAGCATGCCTATGTTTGGAAGGGAAAGCTTTGGCTTGGTACCAATGGAGGGACATGCGACGACCCATACAGAGTTGGAGGGAGTTCAGAGATTATTTGATAGAACGTTTTCGAACCAAGAAGGTTCGGTGATAGAGTACCGGGAGAGGTTCGAGTACCTTGCTAGCCGATTGAACCGCCTTTCTTAGACAGTGCTAGAGGGGAACTTCATGAAGGGATTCATACCAGAGATCCGGACAACAATTAAAAGTAATGAGGCCTCGTGACTTGGGAGAGGCTATGGAGCTAGCTCAATTAGTAGAGGATCAGAGGCACCGGAGAGAGAGATAGGAGGCAGTAGCTTAGGAGGACCGTACAGGATGATCACCACCTTATTGAAATCCAAGGAGCCAACACCAAATACTCCTCAGGGTACATCGAAGGAAAAGATTGTAGAACGAAGACCTCGGGACAACTTCAAGAAGCTCACAGAGGCGGAATTAAAGGAGGAGAGCGAAGGGGCTCTGTTTAATATGTGACGAGAGGTATACGTCGGGGCAAATGTGTAAGAACCAAAGTATTCAGGTTCTTACCGTTTGTGATGAAGAAGGAATGGAGGGTGTCATCTTTCCACCTTGAGGACAAGGTGGATCTTAGGGAGGGGAGTATCGTTAGACCAGTCCGACGAAACCGGCTTACGTGAATAGAGGCAAAAATGTCTGCCTCCTGTACGCGCCGAACGCACACCCAGCGTGCATGAGTTGTTTAGGAAGGATTTTTGAGGGAGTTAGGCTGAAAATTTGAATGTAGGGACTGTTTAGGGATTTCTTTTTTAGTTGTATACATTAAATAGTTAGTTTTCCTAGGGTTAGGGCATCTTTAATTTGGTTGAAATTTGAGATATCTTAGGTTTAGGTTTTTGGGCTATAGCGGCGTCTAGAGATTTCGGAGAGATTGATCCTCCTCTCGAATTAAGGATCAACTGTATCTTGCTATTTTAAGTTTCTATTTCATCAAATAACACAAATTATCTACTGTTTTCGTGATTTTGAGTGAATTTTTGTGGAGAATTCTCGTTGTTTTTCAAAGATTGATAGGATTTACTTGAGATCTACAAGTGTTTCCTATCAGAGACGTGCTGAGGTGCGCTTCGATTCACATTTCAGATTCATGTGCGGCTGCGAGACAAACGAAGCACCACGCTCTGCAGTGCTATTTGGATACAGAAAGATTGACTCGTTCAAAACTCTACCTCATACACAAAGCAGGCGAAGTCGAAGAGTAACAAATAGTTGAAGAAGAGGAAAAGCAAATATGCGACTAGCGAGACAACAGAACAAGCATTGCTAGAGAAATATAACATACGAACAAATTAATTTAGTTTAACTATTTTAATTAAAATTAATTAAGAATATGATGTAATTAATAAAATTGAGCCATATAAGCAATGTAATCTTATATCCATTAGTAGTACCTAAAATACCATTCATATTTAACTTTGGAATAACTTTAACTCTTATTTTAGGCTTTGGGACTAAATTTGCTTAATTTTTAATAGTTAGGGGACTAAATTGGAGCAATGCAAAACTCTAGAGCTAAATTGGATACTTATCAATAGTCAGAAGACTATTTCGAGCTTTTACTCAATATTATTGTCATAAATTGTGTCTTGAAAGGAAATCTGCATCCATTGTTCTCCATAATGATTAATTACTTAATAAGAAGTGCTTATGCATGATTAGAGAAGGTTTCGATGCATCATCATCATTATCATTAGCCCGACCCCTATAATACGCGAAACAAGACAACCTGTTTAAGGCTGAACCATGCCACAAAAAACTAGCCGTGAATGCTTCTTCTCATATTCATGTAGATCGTGCCACCACCAATGGCCTTAGCTTAATGCTCGCCAAATTGTTTTTGGTTTGAGAGATACCAAGGCTAAGGAATCACAAATCATCACCCTCTCTCAAACACCAACAAGCCTCCTTGCCTCCTCCTTCCAACCCTCTCCCTTCTCCAAAAACCAAACCACAAGCCCCTTCCTCTTTGACCGTGAGGCAGCACCAACCTCTCTATTTGCCTTCTTCCTCGACTAGGCAACCACGACAATGAACTTTCTTACTCTTCCTCCTTCTACTTCCTTGTCTTCTTCTCCCCCTTTTATTTTGTCTTCTCCGTTAAAGCTATTATCTTTACCATGTAGGTGAGGTCAGATTAAGTTAAATTTTGATGAGATTTGTCATTTTTTCACACTTATAGAATTTCTTAGACCTTTAGGTTATAGTTTTGCAATGATAATATTTAACCTAAGTTGATTTTGAGCCAGCCCATAGATTAAGTTTGCTTGATGACTTTAATTTAAGAATTAATGTAATTAATTTAGGGTACATTAAGTCTAGTGTTATTGTATGATTGACTTCATGTTATGATTCTTATGTGCAGGACATTCTAGTTGATTTTCACCATCGTAATTTAGTAGGATCTCAATTAAGGTTGAAATTTTGTGTCACCTAGCTTAAGTAATTTTTATTTATTTAAGGATAAACATATCATTCTTTATTATGGGTGTTAGCTTTGTTGTTTGTATTAGGTTCATAGATATTTATAGATTATCAGTAATGCTTTGAACACTCAATTATTGTTATACATGCTTTATTAGATTTTGTTTAATATTCAACATGATAATATCATGTGGCAGAGTTAGCTTGCTTTGATTTATTGTTGTACCAATTTTTTAATATTAAAATGATCTTTACGATAACAAAATTTATTTTTCATGCACATCACATCGATTAAACATAATAAATTTTGTCCTTACAACTTATATTTTATTATTAAAATAGCAATTGCCATATTTACTATAAATACATATTGAAAATTTGCTTATGAAATACATAAAATTGTAATACATGTGTGCTATGGTTTGTAGTACGGCAAAAACATTTTAGATATTGGCTAGTTGGGTCGATGCCGAAATCATAAATTTCCTTATAATTGGTGCCTAACTTTCAAGGTTTTAGGATATCTTAATAAAACCGATTATAGATATATAAACATATACAAATTATAAATAATAAATGACTGATGAGTCACATTTTAAGAGGAACGATGATACCTAACATTGTTACATATGAGTATGTTAAAATGGAATTGCATTCTTAATAATTATCATACAAAGTGATCATGAATATTGCCAATAATGGGATTTTTCTTAGGACAAGTGTGTTCTATTTATACATTGTAATATTACTATAACCATGGGATGACACTGATCAGCTAATGTTATATCATTATTAGCGCCCTTTTATTGTTTATATGGCATGCCCAAGTGTCCTACCATTTATATTTTAATAAATAGGAGTTACTTGTTATATATGCATTATCAATCAAACTTATTTATAAATCTTTCTCATTGCAAATTCTACTTGAGTGTTTAGTGGACCATCATCACAGGAGAAAATTTTCAATTGATATAGTGCATTCGTTAGTTTTAAGTTTATGTTGTACTTATATTTTCATTGGGTTTGGATCGTTTGCTTACGTAGTTGTTGTTTCCAATTTCTTTTCTATTTGTTATTGTTACAACTTCATTGATGTACACTTTGTTGGATTCTACTAATACAATGAAATAATATTCATTTTTCTTGTTTACTCTAACTATTTCTTCAATTAGTTTAAACTATGTCTAGGCCTTCAAATGATAAGAATCCTCGGACTATTAACTAGTTATCATCTAAGGTTCTTTACATAAATGCACCATTTCTATCCTATAAAAACCTCAATTAGCCTGAAAAATTATTAATCTCTTCAGGAATTGAGCAATGAAACAGGGGAAGACTAAAATTTCATTATTACCTGACCATCAGCAATAATCAATAAAACATGATACTGCCCACCACTTTCTTCTACAATGGTCATTGCCATTTCAATTATTGGAGCAAAGGATGTCGGCCCTAGAGACAAAAGCACAAGATTACACTAATTCATGACAAGTTATGATTATTGAGCTTACAAAAAATAAATAAAAGAGTGACAGATACCAGCCAACCGCAAGTGTGGGACAATTTCTCGATATCTAGAAAGAGCTTCAGCAAACCCATTGCATGGTCTCCCATCCGGATAGAAACTAAAGATTTCTTGGTCATGTGTTGATGCTGGAAAAATCCATAATTTAAAAAACATCTGGAAATGGAATTTTGACAAACAGCAACAACAACATCAAGCCTTTATCCCACTACGTGGGGTCGGCTACATGAAACCTTTTTCTCCATTGTGTACTATTAAAAGTCAAATTCTCATTTAAATTTAATAAAAAAAAGATCATTTCTAATATTTTCTAACCAAGTCTTTTTAGGTTTGCCTCTACCTTTCTTAACATAAGTCAAATCTAATACACTATTTAAAATTTAAATTAAAATTAAAATTTGACAAGCAAAGCATTAAATTTAAAATTTACCATCTCCAAACCCAAAACATGGAATCAAGTTATCCTCATCAAATTTTGATAATGTCTTTCCAATTATAGAGATGGCTTGCTCATAGGGATTTGGCGTATCGCTGATGTGATGCAAGCTCCGGCGGTTAAATGAGTGCTTACCTATCCATAAAATCAAGTCATAAATTTCACAAGTAATAACAATAAACATCGATTCACAAATTCTAACCTGTCCACTCATTGCTTTTGGTGAAGTCAATACCAACAATAAGATTGGAAGACTCAAGACCAGCTTCAGCAAGAGCTTCAGTGACCTTCAAAAATGAAATGATCTTCAAAAGTGTGCCAGCTAACGTTTATAATGTTCCGTTGAAAAAAGAATTTGAGCACAGAAGAATCGGAGACCAAAACAAACAATAGATCTCACGATATGATAGATATTAACACTCCAATTTATTATGAAAATACGATGTTTTACGAGCTAAAAGTGTGGCCTTTCACAGGCAAGTGTAATCATAGCAATGATAAACTTTTCTTCATAAATCAAATAGGAAAAATTACTTATTTTATCCAATTTTAAGTTCTAAAAAATAAATGTCGAGGATCCAGTGCTGGTTGGGTCAGTCGCTTGGCTTGACATCCTACAGACAAAAATTGGTCAAACCAATTTTACATCACACTTTCTCAAGTAATAGTTTGTTTACATCCATATTCATCCAAGTCAAGTTCAAATATTCATAAGAGCCCGAACTGGTTCAATAAGTCTTTGATCTTGAACTGGCTCAAGTTGTCAAAGAATGGACATTTGCCAATCCTGAAGCCACCCAAAAACTCTACTCACCAAGAGCCAAAAATCATCAAGTCCTCCCAGAGAAAAAATCCACACAACCCTTGGTACTTGGCTCTGAACTCGCCGAACTCAAAATTGTCTACTCGACAAAACTATCCGCCTATAAAACTCGACGACTCATCTAAGTATTTTCTTGTCGACTAGAGTTTACATCAGGAAAACTCATCAAGGGCACTTACAACTATCCCACTTTCCAAGACTAACCTATATAGTTGTCAATTAGATTTATCTACATAGCCTATTTTGTACAGCTATCATTGCCCCATGCTTATAAGTAGAGGATATCAAGGTCGTGTATAGTCATATGATACAATTATGTACTTTTGGCAAAAACTATATCCCTTAGGATTTTCCCAAAACTTTCCTCTCTACGAATTGACTATAACCTTTGTCAGACCTACCCTACCTCTCTCTAGGGGGGTCAATCCCCTATAAATCAAATTCACTTGAGGAGAATTTATTAACCCAATCTCTCTTCCCTCACTCCTCTTCAGACTCAATCTTAACCTATAGCAGGGACTTGGTGAGATTCCATGGACAACATTAGATCCAACTTTTTGGTTGATCTCTAAGAGCCCAAATATGCATGAATGAGAGATGGCTGATGTTGGTGACCAAATAAATGTACAACCACGCACTATCTGCCTTTGTCAAATATGGGATTACATGACCTCAAACAAAGCTTGGAGGACTCATTTCACTCAACAACTTACAAAACACAAAAAAATAAAGGGTTAGAGAATTAAAACACAGTGAAAGATTAGATGACCAAACACTAATGTTGCAAAATTTCCTTAAAAGAATCACCTAGTAAACTTCTACATCCATCCAAACATCTAATGTCTACACAAATGACAACAATAACATAAAGAAGAGACGGGGCAAAAAACATTAAATACAAGAGCTTAGCTTATGAATTGATAGCGCAACAAGGGGTTTCATAAACACAAACATGATAGATATCTTTCACTTGAGAAAAGGGTTTGCAATACATAGTTTGTATAGAAAAAGCTCTTCCTACAATAGTTTGAAATAAAGCAATAATTGCATTTTCAAAGCAATTCTCACATGCAAGAAGATTCGAAGGCTCCAACTCTTAAAGCTGTCTCGGTAAGCACTCATTTGGTTGCATACGGACAGTAAACACGATTTAAAAAGTCATGATTTTATTTTAATTTATTTTTACATGAGACTGAAATCCTCACTTTTGAAAAATTTTGAGATTTTTGTAGAGTTGTAAATCCTAGCACTGGGCAACGCTCAAGATCTCAAACTCATGAATCACTCCACCAAACATGCGGTGGTAATAAACTTACTAATTTTTAAAACACATTTTCTAATTTCAAGCAATCAAATTAGACCTGAGTTTAATTTAAAACAAAATAAATACATGACATTGGGTGCTTAAATCTATGTTTGCGTTATAAAATGAAGATTGGATTCTCACCACAATACTAACAGCAAAAATATTAAATCAGTCGAAACGTCAAATAAAGAATAGTACAAAAATAAAGCTACACTACCCTAGGAATTTACTATAACTAGTATTGTAAATATCAAGGCAAAATATAGTAGAGGATCACACTTTTGATGCAAAATCTAGGATATAAAAATGTTGCTAGTGATAACTTAAATCAACCATTTTTGGTGCACTCACCTATAATTAGTGATCATTAGACTTATCATTATCATTAGTTTTATTCCAACTAATTTGCATTTTTAATGGATATGACTAGGATTGAAAATCCATATCAAATCATTCAAGAAATGGTCACTCTGACAGTCCACCTCAAAGAGGTCAATAAGATGATGCTATCCTCATGATTAGGGCATCATTACATGAAAAATTGAAGAGATCATGTTTGTTGAAGTTATAATGGTATAATTTCTCCATAAAAATTATCGAAGATAGTGATTCTCATATCACATTGTTGAAACCAAAGAAAATGTCACCAAACATTGATAAGCGCAATCAATTTGTCAAACATATATTATACAAGGAAGATCAAGGCTGCAAATGCAGTATCGTTGTCATATTACAAGAAGATAAAGATGAATTTAAGGGAAAAAAAAAACAGTTCTTTGGATGTGCTTATATTTGAATTAAAATTAATATATTGATAATTCCTATAGGAATTATTGTATAGTTTGAACTTATATCTGGTTGGTTATTTGTGGATAGGTTTTTTTTTTCTTCATGGACTTTGCATAGGAAGTAGATTAGATTACTTCATGTTGACAAGACTCTAATTTTTGCCCAAAATACAATGCTTTCTTGATTGTTCAAAAAGAGCAAAGATAGCAAAGGCCAAGACCTCAACTCTGCCTACAACCAACTGAAATCTAGATTGCTCAAATGAGCATGGGAGCTGATCCACTAAGAGCGTTATAAAAAAAAAAATTAAATGTCGTGCCTCCTATCTAAGTAAAAAGGATCAAAGAAGATATAAGCCAGAGCTCCAATCCTCTCCACCTTAGAAGCTTTAAATGTCTCTTCGCAGGTTGTTCATGAAACCAAAGGCTGGCAAGTAACTTATTTCCACCATAGTTAAGGTAGCACATGGGGCCTGCTTGGGCCCCAATTGGCATGGGAGTGTGTTTTCTAGGCCATATAGCCCATACCATGCAAAACCTCACCAAGGCCCCACGCCCAGTCACAGGCTCAATTACCCATGCTCGGGCATTCTTATACTCGTTCTAGACCACCAAAAAAAAAACTAGTCTTTTTGTGCCATTTTTTGCTCATGTGATCCATCTAAGTCCACTAAACCCTATAAAGAGCGATTTAAACACATTTTGAAGCAAAATCACACTTATGGTTCAAATTCAAGGCTAGTTTCACATAATTTTCTTTCACATTGCTTCATCTCTATCATGATTAGAACTCCTTCAAGTTGAACTTTTCTTGAATGGGAGAATCTCAACATAATAAATTGAATTGAATTGAATTCATTCGAATCAAAATCCCAAGATGACATCCATATTGACATACTAACAATTATTATGACCAAAGAGTTTGAGCTTGAACCATAATTTTGAAACATTATGGATAAGTTACCTACAACTTTACAAGAAGAATACACTACAATGTGCAACATTAAGTTTAACTCAAGAGAGAAGTTCATTTTTTTATTTTTTTAAGCAAACATATAAGTATTTTTAGATTTTTTTTAATCAAATAAAGAAGTGCAATTGGACTTCTTTTTTAACAGAGGATAAAAAATTATGGAGCAATCGATACATCCCTAAAAATATTATGTTTGAATTTATTTTGACATTCCCATCCCATCAAGGATGTCAATATTTATGCTTCTATGATTCTTTTGCAAAGAGAGCAAGAGTGAACAATGATTCTTATACAACCGTATTATCGACTTTGATGAGCAAAGGTCATTCCATCACATTCATAGAATCCAATGTCGATCTTGAAGCATCAAACTCCACTTCATATCATCAGCAACATCAATCGTGAAGCCATTTTTATAACTCTGATGGTCTATGATAGCACTGATCTTGAAACATGAGATCTCCATTGATTGGATCTCATCCTAGAGAGCATGATGGTCTTACATAAATCTTGAAGACAACTTGTCTTATTGCTTTGCGTTGAATTGATTGAAGTACCAAAATGCTGCTTGTTAAGATAGGTGAATGCCTCTCTATTATGAATACCCTCAGAGAAAGTTAAATTCATTCTTTACTTCAATTTCACTTTTTGGAGGTAACTTTGACGAGTTTCTTTTAAATTTCTTTTTCTCTAGCCTTCAAGCACTTACTTAGGCCTCAAAGTGTCTTTCCAGGGGAACCATCATAGATATAGATGATGACTTCCGTGATTCTCAATAAGCTAAAAACAATGTCCAGCACGAAACAAAACTAAACCTTGCAACTCTTCTCAATTGCCCCGTTCTGCAAAGTTCATTCAAGAACTAGATTTCCTTTATCTTCCAGATTCTTCTCAAAACTCGTAATGATGTAGCATTTGGTAAGCTACTTGAAATCACTGCCACAACAACAAAGGCTTAAACATAATAAAACAAACCGGCCATTACAGTAAACAAAATCACAATGCAGATAAGGAGTTGGTCCATACTTAAATAGGAATAATGATAATGAGTTCTACTTAAGATAAACATAGAAACGAAAGACATACCTCATCCAAGGATTTGTACATGTCAGCTATCTTGGAATACCTTCGGTCCAACCTTGGCAACTTGCTTGTCGCATTTGAAGAAGAAGATGAATGTGGCTGCGAAGGTTGAGGATAATTCGAAGGCTTTGGGTGGTAGCCCTCTGTTGGATATGAAAATGAAGCTGAAAAAGATTGAGTGTGAGGGTAGGCCTCAACTGGAGCATCATAGCTTTGAGGAGGGAAATTCTGATAGTATGGCGCCTCGCTGGAATAGAGTGAATTCGATTGGTAACCATGGGAATAGTTCCCATGATTAAAAGAAGAGGGACGGCTAATGTTCCTCCTACCTGACTCTGAGGAGTTTTTTCCCCCCATCAAAACCAACTATTACAAAACTTCTCCAAATAGAATCAAAAGCGCAAACCCTTCAAGCTTGCGAAAAGAAAAAGGGGTTTTGAGAAGGAGAGAAGAAAGAAGTATGGAGAGAGCACAGGTAGAAAATTGATATATGGATTCGAGATTTTAGCCTACGTGAGCATGTCAGATTTGGATGAGGTATTGAGGCAAAATGAGAGATGAAGACGGCCGCCACCGTAACAGTTGATGGGAGTAAACCCGACTAACCGGAGTAATGAATCTCCTCTACCGCCCATGGCCCCTAAATCCTCCATGCCTGCATTAGGTGAATGTCCGTGAAGAAAGGTTGAAACAAAGAGCAAAAAAGTCAGTCAATTGCACTACCACACACGCAGCCATGCACAATTTAGAGAGATATAAGTTTGTACGCAAAGTTTCAGGAAATATTTTTTTAATCCATTTACAGAGGTGAAAAGATAAACTAGCATATAGAAAATTAAAAAATCAAGTAACGTAGAAACTATCGTGTCTACATTGAAAAAAAACAAAGAAGTTCATGATCTGGCTGCCCCAAAAAGCCAAATTTAGGGGAGTAGCGCGGTGCTCACCTTGCCGACCTCTGCCTCCTCTGTTCTTTTACAAGTTTGTTTGCTGAGCTTCGATAGATTCTCAAGAACCAATATATTCTACTGGAAAAGGAATACTTTGGAAGAGAAGACTTGCGGTTCTTCAGTTGCAGGCTCCAGCGCCGCACATGGCGGAAGGAATGCGGAAACTTCCGAGCTCCAACTCAACCTTTTTCTCTGATTTTTTCCGCCAAACCGTACCAGCTGAATTAAAAGGGGCTCCGCTTTTCTGGTGGACAATGAAAGATTATTTTAATTCACTTAGGGCCGTTTGCTGTGAAATACGAACGTAAAAAAAACGCATAATATATTTAAAATTATTTGAATAAAAAAAAATAAATGCAAATAAATATTCTTTATTTAATTTAAAATAAAATAAAAACATGATACGGTAATTGACAAATGACTATAATAAAGAAGACGATCTTATTTGATGTTCCTCTCACATCTTGATGACCAAATAGACTCCTAATTGTGAGGGAAAATTATTAGGTACAGACATCAGATATAGAGATTCGCTCGGATATATACTAAAAATTTGATATGTAAAGTGCACTGTTGTTGCGTTTTTTTGTGCGCTTTATTTGTACTTTATCTACGTCTTACATGCGCTTTAGTTGTGCTTTTACTGCTCTTTTTATTATGCTTCTTTCATTATGCTTTTAGTGAGCTTTGCTTAAAATTTCGCGGACACATTAAACATATTGAATATCCACGTGTCGACATTTTATTGACGTCCGAACGTAGAGCTACGTCCGGTGTCTGCACCTAATAATTTTCCAGTTGTGATAACATGATAATTTATTCACTATAAACTTTATTTCGATTTAGTTTTTCTTTTTTTTTATTTAAATGCAATAAAAATAATTAAGTATTTGAATATTATTCTCTTTCTAAAAATATTTTTTAAATTTTTAAATATTTTTAAATAAAATTTAATCATAAATTATTTGAGTCTCATCAAAAGTCAATTCCTATTCCTAAGAAGAGAGATAATTATTTATATAAACGTATAGTGGTAGGTCCACATATAATATAATCATTGGCTCTACATGCATCATAATCATTATAGTCGGACCTACTTTGCTGGTTGGTTCATATCTCGATTTTGGACAAATCAAATCACATTAGTGTTGTGCAAAGTTTCATCTAGTTAAGAATCAAAGTCGGACCTACTTAATTTATTCTCATTCTTTAAATAAATATTAATCTTGTATATAAATTATATGCTCGTATATGCATTCACAAGTATTTATCAGGAAATCATCAGGTTACGATAAGATTACTTTCATTCAATGGGACACATAGAGAAACTCGTCCAAGGAACATAAAACCCCACTCGTCTGGGCCTACGAAGGAAGGTTACCCTCTTGGGTGATAGTGGAGGATCTCATCAATCAAGTAACTTGTAACTCGTAGCAACTCACCCTCGCCAACTACAGGAAAGCATCCAACCAGATAGCCCTCAACTCGACATACCATGACCAATAAACCACTGAGTTCATCTTCTTTGCAACCTCAGGCCACTCGCCTTCTCTTCTAGGCAATACCAAGCTCAGCACAAGTCACCCATGGCGCCTGGATATCATTCAACAATCAAACACCCCTTACTTGGTACTTGTTCACAATCTCGCCCATACACACTTAATATTACGAAGCTTGCCCAAAGAAAAACACTGAATCAGACTATTAATCTTTATGAGCTGATTAATAATAACACGCCTAATTTTATTATAATAATATCATTCTAATAAAATTATTATACTTATGAAATTATTATAAATAAACCCTTAATTAATTGAATAAACACTTATGAAATTATTATAGTTAAATTAAGGGTTTATTTTAGTACCTAAATATTTAATTATTAACAGACTTTATTATAAAGTATGAAATAATTAATAAACTCACAAAGATTAATTAAGTGTTTATCATTAATAGCATCCACGATTCATAATGTACTATTTATATTATTAAATCATAGATAATTTAATTAATTAACATTTGCTTGATTATAATAATTTCATTCTAATGAATTGTAATAATTTTAATTAAATCCACATTAATTTCTAATCAGCAAAAAAAAAATTAATTAATTTGTTAAAAAATAACTAAAACTAATAACCTTAATCAAAATTTCAATTAATCTCAACTACCTCTAATAGAAATATTCGAATAGATTCTTTTTATTAATTTAAACCTAATTAATATAATTAAGCATCAAAATAATTTTAATAACATAATTGTACTTTAATTAAAACTGTAATATCTCATTAACCAAATTATTTAAAAAAAAACGCATCGTTATGTTTTCAAAAGTATAAGAATACATGTCATTTTGAAGAGAAATTATTACGTGCAGAATCCAGACCGAAGAACTGTCCAATTTTTATAAGTGTGCACAATAAAAATACAATAATTATTCACCATTGCACTTTTAATGCGCATACTCATAAAATAGGATGAAGCTCCAATCAGGACTCCACACTTCATAATCTAACCATTTTGAGGTAAAAAAATTTGTGCTTTTACGCAAAAAAAAAAAAAAGGCTGGAATGCATGAAAATGTTTTTTTTTTTTCAAAAGAAAACGTAAATTAGAATTACATTTTCCTTAAACACGAAAAAATACATTTTTTATCTTTAAAAATTAATTCTTAATTAAGTTTCTTCTTCTAATTATATTTTATTTAAACCTAGATTTTTAAAAAAAATTCGCTGCTGATGGTATCCAGCTCCTTGAGTGTGAAGTCCTTAAGCTCTAAGATAATGCTATAATTATTTTGGACTCAACAGCGCCTGAGTGGGGCGGAGGGGCCATTGAGCGTCGCCCACGTGATTTCCTGTCCCATATGGGCATCCAAAGTGCGCAAGCGAATCTAAAAGGTGTGTGTGGGGACGTATTTGTAGCTCTTGGTCTCACTTTAGTCTTCCAGCTTCGATCCATAATTTCATGAGTGGGCTCGGAAAGCAATCATTTGCAGGAAATTCAATGAATCACGAAGTTGCTTGGAAAATACCGTCGACTGTCCTCTTTTTGGCTGAATATTTAAGTAATTTTGCGAAGCTTGGAAGATGCTCTATGCATCCAGCTGTAGACAATTCTATATAGATATAGACATATCATGGTCAATTATGGTGTCCATTACTTCTTAAAGCAGTTGTTTAATACAAAAATTTTACTAAAAAGATGTTTTAAAAAATAGTAAGAAACTCATTCCAAAAGAAGCGCAAAAAGAAGCAGAGTACCAATAAATTGGATCCACATGTGAAATTTGAGAGAGGCTGGATAGCTTCTGCATATTTATTTATATATAATTATGTATAGTTTAAGTTGAGCTTTTTCACCATCTTACTTGAAATTCTACTAATGACACTGATCATGCATATATGACTTGAAAAGCTTATTTCCCAAGCAATTCAAGCTGCAAAAACATGTTTAATAGTGGGCAAATATGGTGAACTGGTTTGTTATTCAACAGCCAACACACTTGAAATCTGAGGCTTCGGCTTTGTTTGGGACGACTTTCTTTCAACTTCTTAAATATAAAAATTTTAATTTTTTGTACTAAAAAACTGCTTTATGAAGCAGTAAGAAAGCTATCACAAACGAAACCTTCATTTGTGACAACTTTCGTATTGCTTTTTAAAATGATTTTTTAGTACAAAAAATTCAAATTCAAAAAAATTTTGTACTAGAAAGTTATTTTAGAAAGCAAGAAAAATGCAGCCCCAAGCGAAGCCTGAGAGGGAAGTGCACCACAGCTTCAAAAATGTAAATATTTGAAATACAAATTGAATACTACCTTAGGATGCTTAGAAGGTTTCTCTGCTGAAGAAAACAGCATGTGGTTGGGATGCAGTGAGTGAACAATTTTCATGAATGAAGCCACAGCCTATCGCGCAGCCTCTCCTCTCCGGTTCCAAACATCTCATCAACCCTCTCTCCATCTCTATAGAAATGAAAGGTGGGTGTGTAGCGTATGTTCTGAGTGGTCTCAGGGCATTCATCAATGTCAGCGTAGATGAAAGAGAGCTTCTTGAACTTACTGCTTAAGTGGCAGAAAGTAGGAAGGATCTGGCTACAAACTCGGCACCTGCAACTTTTCATTTATGTAAAAGAAACAGGGACCAACCAACAATATCACTTATGCAAAAGAACAGTATATTTCAATTTGTTTGATCCTTTCATTAATGATAGGATTTCTTAAAATATAGATAGTTGTAAGATCACAATTAAGGATCATAAATTTTCTGACAGGAAAGTCAAAATTCTTCGACAAGAATTTGGCTACATACCTGAACATAACTACAACTATTAGCTTCTTATTTTTTCCAGGACATGAGATTTTTACCCACTAAAATAGTATCATGAAATATAATTTCGATCTTTAATAGATCCAACATAATCAACATTAAAAAAATTTCAATCCTCAAATGTTAATGTTTCTTATAGGCAGAGGATATTTCCTTGGAGATTTCACACTAACAACAAATGATATACCAGTCGAGTGATGGCTAGATGAGATAACAAACAAGAAAATGGTACTTAAAATGATCTTTATAGCTTAGGCTTAGTTTGGGACGGCTTTCTTGATGCTTCTTAAAGCATCTTTTTAGTACAAAAATTAAATTTTTTATACTATAAAGTTGTTTAAAGAAGCAACAAGAAACTCGTCCCAAACAAAGCCCTAGTCATCCTCATCGAAATACAGAGTTTTTATGGAAGAATCTGCAGGCTAACACCCAAGAAGATCAATTTCTTCAATAAGGTTTATAGCATATTTCCTTTAAGAAAGATACTTCTTTCTTAACTAATATGCAAATTTAATGCAAAAAAAATAAAAAGCCCCAAATCATTGATGACATATCTTTTACATATATATGTTCTATTGCCTCATATATCATTTATAGTGTCAGTTGAAGCTTGCGATCACCAAACATTACATCGAGGAAATGGTAGGCAAGGATGCTCCACTTAACAACTAACAAGTTATTTTTGACAACTCATACCTTCATAACAAATAAGAAATATCATGTCGACAACCTTATCAGTGTTAGCTCACAAAGAAAACATCTGACGTGAAACATGTAAGTAAACAAGAAGTGCTTTTTGGAAATTAATAATAATTTGAACTTTAACCTTGCTAATCGTAAACTTATGTTTCACCAAGTTCGATTCTTAGAAATTTCCGTTAGAGTTTATGTAATAGCAAGCGATTACAAACGAAATTAACATGATACTTGCAAGCAACAACAAAAATAAGAAAGTAAAACTAATGGCAATGAAACAAAAATCCACGGCTTAAAAATGAGAAGGGTTCACCTTAAGTTCTCTCACTCTTGCTCTTGAAATTGGTGTTTAGCGGAGAAAGGGGAGAAGTAACCCTAGTGATGCCACCACAAGACAAGTGACGCGTAAGGTATTGTTCGCCAGAGGAGGGGAGGTTGATGGTCGGTCGATGATTTGCCAATGTCCAGTTGGTCGTTGCTTGTCAATCATCTCAGCGAGATGATAGAGTATGCGATCTACGTAGCTTTCTACTGAATCCTCGAATTCCCAGTCTGGATCAAAGAAAGGGGATTGCAAGATGTCAATTTCTCCTTGAGCGTTGTATATGAATCCGTGGTCAATCTCATGGTCAGACATGCACTAATGGTAGATGGTTTGTTTTCTCTTCTTTGCTCTAAAACTCGTGAAAGAATTAGGGTATCCAAGAGAAACAAGAGGAGAGGAGGGGCCAAGGAGGAGGAGGATTTGTGGGCTATGTTAGGTTAGGGTTTGGGTGAGAGGATTATGAGTAAATCTAAAGTTAATTTTAGATTTAAGTAATTTGGGAAGGAACTGAATTTGAAATTTAATTTCAAATTCAACTTGGAATTAGAGATTTGAAGTGGAGAGAGGAAGCATGAGCAAGGGAGGGGCTGGCGAGATTTAGAGAGGGGAGGAGGAAATTTTGGGGAGGAATTAAGAGCTTCCAAAATGAGTGAGTTAATTTAGGAAGGAGAACATTAAATCAAATCTAATTTAAATTGAAATTAGATTTAGGTTTATAAACTTTCCTAAATTAGGAATTGCAATTATGGAAAGTATTTGAAATTCAAATTTGAATTTTAAATAACTCTCAATCCTTTTCTTTCTTGCTTGAATTAATTAAGGAAAGACATTATGTTGAGTGGAATCATCATTATGGTGGGGATCATGATGGTAGGCCAGTGGCAATGGGGAACGGGGGTAGGGATGGCGTCGGGTAGGAGAGGGGAATGGTGATTTGGGCCGGTGGGTGGAGGTTTGGATGTGGCGTTAGGGTTGAGGTTAGAGGGGCTGAGGTGGGCTGTTGGCTGGGAGAAGAGAAGGGGTTCGGGTGGTGGGGGAAGAAGAAAGAGAAGAAGAAGTTTTGGGGGAAAACCAAGAGCTCACCTGAAGGGGCTGTTGGGTACTTCGTTTGAGCCTCTCCTAGGCTTCTCCTCTCTCAAGTGTACACACAAGAAGAAGACAAATATCGAATTTTCATTTAATCATTCATTAACCTCTTACAAAGCACAAGACCTCTATATATAGGCCTCAATAATAAAGAAAAGAAGAAAGACTCAAATGCCCTCAGGGCTACAATAAGAACTCATTACCCATAGGGGTAAACTAGGAAAACTGAAATGCAAAATAAATAAAACATAAAATAAATCAAAAGTAAAGACTCTAAATCATATCCGTCGATCTACGATTCCGTCGATGGTACACATGTCGAAATCTCTGGTTGATGTCCTCATCAACATCTATTAAAAAAGACTAAATCCAAGCAATGAAAGATGTGGAAACAAGGCAAGCAACTAGACTTATCAATGCATGGTAGAAATTTCTACCAGTTGAAAAAGAAAAGAGAAGGCATGCTCTCTTAACTAGGGCAAACAAGGTGACATGCAAATACAGACTGAAGAGCTAGATATATAGCCCGTCTTTGGCACATCCCTTTCAAATTTGTCATTATGCTGGAACTCGATCATCAATATTGCCTCCATCTAAGTAAAGGTGATCAAGTGGTCAAAATTTTGTACAATTACACAAAGATGACCTTTACCCAAAAACATCCATAAGAAAAAAAAAAATTTCCAAAAGAACAATAGAGCAATAGAGCAAGAGCTCGTGAAAGTAGGGAAGCCTTCATTGCTAGAAAATGAGATTAAAAAGAGCCACCGCCTTGCCAATTCAAACAAGATAAAGTCTGGCAAGTTTGAAAGAATAGAGATTATCATAGAAATACGTCAAACCAAGTAGTACCCATAATTTATGACTTTGGATATTTAATGGAGGCTTCTAAAGTTGAAAAGCCATCCAAGCTCCATGAACAAAATAATTCTCAAAATTCAAACTCTCAAAAGATATTTCAAAAATGTCCAAGAAACATCATAAGAGATCAGTGGTCAAACAAAATAAGGTGGTACAACTGGGAAGCTAGAAAGTCCCAGTTGTATGGATATTTTGAGATGGGAACCTATAATTTGGGAATCTAAACAAATACGACATCAATCAGATCGCATGTAATCATGATTTAAACATCAAATCATTGATAAATCAAAGAGATCGTGTTCAATGAAGTTTTAACAGCCTAATTTCTCCAAAAAAATTGCTGACGATGATAATTCTTATATCAAATCAATGAGATTAAATAACCAATTGTTAGGAGTCCATAGAGATGATTAAATTATTATTCAAACATCATACAAAGGAGATTAAAACTCTAGAAGCTAGATTGTTGGATCAAATTCAAATTCTATATTATGGCAGGACAAGGATGAATTTTATTATTTTTCTAACTTTTTGGGATAAAATTGTGTTAAAATGCATATTATAAAAATTCATCCCTAAATTATCTTGTAATTTGAAGTTATCTAGTTTGTTATTGTATCTAAAGTTTCCTCTTTTTGCGGAGTTTGTTTAGGATTGGATAAGTATTTGTCTATGCAATATTTACAGATAAACAGGCTTGATTTCCTACAATAAAATGAATCAGAAATCTAAAAAATCTTCTGCTTCCCTCTAATCTCCAAATTCCATCGCAGTTGCTAGTCCAAAGTTCAGGCATTGTAACAAAAACCGTAGCTAAGCATCCTGGCATCGAGCACATATAGCTAGCTATTTTATGGCTCTTCCTTATTGTTTGTAAAGACAACTAGTTTGTTGATTGATTGTTGTTGGTGTCTGCTATAAAAGACGACACCTGGTGCATAACCATATCATTGAAATCTAACACAACAAAACTGGGGAAAATTTTACAAATCTTGTGATCAGAAAATCAGGGAACCATATGTGATTTCGGTGATAAATCAAATACAAATCGGCTGTGGACAGTTTATCAGGAAGAAAAAATATACAGTAGTTTGCTAAATGAAAATTAAAAATAAATCAGTAAAGGCCACTGCTGTCCACAGCTTATCTAGAAGGAAAAAGAGAAATTTGGTTGATGTCACAAGGAGAAACCAAAAACAAAGGGATCTGCAGGTAACAACAAATAATAGAAAACATTTAAAGAAAAAACTCTACATCCAAAAGCGCTCCATGAGGTACACCTATTTTGATCAGTATGTACTTAGGAAACCTAAAGAAAATTAATAAAACCTTTCTGAATCGGTTCTAGCCTCTAATTGTGAGCATAAGAATTTGAGAGATTTGTTATGGTCAAATGGATGAGCACCTGTGCTTAAATTACTTGATTTTAATAAAATGTTTGAAGTTTCTTGAGATGCATCTAGTATGGACATTGATTGAGTATTAAGCTAGGAAGGACACATCATTGTATTCTTTAATGATAAATTTAATGTGGCTAAATAGAAATGCAAACTATCATATGAAATTTTGTATTTTTGTGCAAACTATTCATTATCTGAGGCCTTAGCTGTTTAATGAAGACTATACGTTATTGTGGTCATAAATATAGGTGAAGAGAATTAATTTTGATAATATAAAAGAGGAGTATGTCATTTGTAAGGGATTTAAAGAGATTTATCAAGAATTAGATAATAATTTATCAATGCTTGACAAAAATTATATTCTCAAAGATGATTATTTAGTTTAATAATACTTATCTTTGCCTTTTTTATT